TACAGAAAATTAGTACTGAGCGTGGGGTTCATTGTACTAACTGTTGTTGACCAGGTAGTTTAGAAGCCTTTGAAACTGGTTTGCTGGAGGAGTTTGGAAAGGTTTAGAGATGCAAGCAAGAAAAACTCTAGAATGCAGCAAGCAGAGCCTGCTGGATGATTCTGGTCAGAGCTCAGAAGACCAAAATGTGGATAGGAACAGACAGTAGAGGCCATGCTCAGGTTTCAGTTGGGAACAAGGACTCCATTGGCAGTTGGACTAGAGGACTTGTGTGCTACATTATGGCAGGAAATTTAGCTACATTTTGCCTATGTTCAGAGACTTTATAGAAGACTGAGATTAAGTGTGGTAGATTTATTAATCTAGTGTAGGAAATTTTAGAACAGCGAAACATTCAGGCTATGACATGGGTACTGCTGGTTGTTTTTAGTCACATGTCTGGTGAGAATTGGAGGAAAAAGAGGAGAAGAAACATTTGGAAAACTTAAATTGGCCCAGAAGGAACCACATGTAAAGTTAGGGTCAACAAGTTGTGGTTGTTAAAGAGAGATATTAAAAAGAAATCAACCTCTATACAGGAACAAGAAGAAAGATGTCATGAGGGCATCTTGGTAAAAGGCAAAAGATTTATGCTATCTGAACTGAAACCAGAGAGTTTGAGGGATCTTGGAAATCAAGATGATCTCAACCATCACAAGCTCGAGTTTGCAAAAATCTAAGAAAGTCCCTGTGTCCCTTTCTCAAGAAAGTCTTTCCAGAATATTTGTTCCCTGGCATTTATTTCATACTGTTCAGACATCTAGGCATTCAGAGACAGCTACAGGAAGGTCTGGCTATTGCTTCCAATGAAAGCAGACCTTGGCATCATCCATGTGATGCTGACTTTACCAACATGTAGAATGACAGGCTGTGGGGTCAGAGAGGCTTCTACCCATATTTCAAAGAAAGACCTGAGAAGCCAGGCAGGAAGCCCCTTTCAGGGCAATCTGAGAATCTGTGGGAAAGAAGCCAAAGATGAATTTGGGAACCTAGGAAGTCTGAGAAGCCAGAGACATGGAACTTCTGAAGAAAAAACTGCAGTCAGTGAATGGAGCCGGCTCAATAAAAAAACCATGTGGGCTGCAACTGACAATGTCATAGGATGAGGCCACTTACACTCCCTAGAACACACATCTCCCCACCACTTGCCCTGGATTTCGGACATTTATCCGTAGTATTTAATGTTTGCCGTGTGGGGTCTTGATTGATCTTGCTTTGGTCTGATTCTTTTCTATCCTGCTCCTTTTTCTCCATTTTGGAATAGGACTATTTATCTTGTGCTATTGTTTCTTGAGATTATGTAACTTTTTTGACATTTACAGAGGTTCATAGCTAAGAGTTTGCCTTGAGTCTTGGAAGAGACTCTGACTTGGAATTTGAAAAATGCTGTAACTGTTGAGACTTTAGGGCAAGGGATTCTGTGATTGAGTCCAAAAGTAAATAAGATAGTTGCACTGTGCTAGCGGAATTATGAATTTACTTTGAAGATTAATTATGGTATAAGGAGATGTGTTCGGGTGAGAAGTTAACAAGTGGATTGTGACCACTAATCCTGTTACATTAACTTCATTGGATTGAAAGAAGCCTACCAGAGTAGTAAAGCATACTTGTGGATGTGTCATTTAACTTAAGGGTTACTGAGATTGGTGGGTACAACATACAGTCCCTTATCCATTCCTATCTGATACTGCTTCTCAGCTCTGCTTACTGGTTGTTGTGAACTGAGCAGTTTTGTTCTTCTTTATCCTTCCTCCATAATATATTTGCCTTTGAACTATCCTTTTATAGATTGCAAACATGAGCAAATTCAATCTCTCTTCTTTTAAAGTGTGGGTGTTGCATATTTTGTCTAGAGACAAAAAGTGACTAATATAGAAAGAAAGTAAAGATTATTGAGACTCATTCTTGATTCCTGGAGTCCATGACTCAATTGTGGATTCTCTCTGAAGACAGCTTAATGCTGACAACAAAAAGTCTTTGATTGAAGAATCATTTAGTTAGTTAAAATAAGGAACTGCAATAAGCAGGACAAGTGCCAGAAGGAGAGTAATTTGGGTATGAGAAGTGCTCAGGAAGGCATAATCATTGCTCTCTTTTTACTTTTTTTTGCATTGGGCAATGGTAATGGCCTTTTCCTGCTTAATTATGGTGCAGGAATCTGAGTATACATTTCTAACAAACTCCCACATAATGCTGCACGTTTTATCCTAGATATGGGATGAATGATGCTGTCTTATTACTAAGTCACTTAGTCCCAAAACAAAAGTTAGTGCCAATGTGACTGCAATGTGGGGTGGGGAAAGTGTAACAGGGATACCAGTTGGAATTGCCATGAAACCATGAGATTCTGTGGATGAAGTGTGTTCAAAGCACTTTGGGCTTCAGGGACCTTTTAGACACTCCAAGAAATCTTTCCATAGAAAGTGAGAATAACCCAGTGGCAAGGTTCTATGGGATGGACTGTCCACTGGAGAGTGAGGTGAAGATACTTACAGTATTATGTGCATCTGGAGAAGAACTTTTGGAGCTGTTAAAATGGCAGAAAATTAGTAAAGCTCATAAATGGTCCAGAATTTGAGCTTTGGTTATACTATGAACTCCAAGATGAGTTGTGATAAAAAAGGGGAGGCTGTAAATGCCTACTATTAACAGGAATGTTTTGCACTTAATCTCTGTTCTCCTCACCTCTGCTTCATCACTAGCTTAGGTGCCAAGACAGAGTAATAAGATTTAATGTGATCGATTAATTATATAAAAAGAGATTTAGGTTTCAATAATCTTTTCAAACTTTAAGTCCTAAAAATGGACTGAAAGTATCAAAAGGTCTGAAAACCCACTGGTTGGCAATATTAATTTTTCTTATTCCCCTATTCACTAGACCTTGGGGATAGAGGATACGTATTAGTCAGTTTCCCATCACTGGGAAAAAATACCTTACACTCACAAGTTGAAGGAAAAGATGTTTATTTTGGGTCATGGTTTTCAGACAATTATTCCATAATTGTTTCTCTCTGAGGCAGAAAGGGCCTGACAAAGGGCACGGTAGAGGAAAGTTGCTCAACATATGGCAGCCAGGAAACAGAGGAAGGAGGAGCTGGGGAGGGAGATACACCCTCCAAAAGAATGTCCCAGTGGCATACTTCTCCCAACCAAGCTCCACCTCCTAAAATCACTCTTAACTATGAACTTTCCATGCATTTTATTGAACTTGTCTTAGCTATGAATTCATCAATGCATCTTAGTTATGGAATTATTAATGCATCTTAACTATGAGCTCTTCAATGCAACTAATGTGTACAGTGCCCTCATGATCCTATCACCTCCCATCCTTAAAGACCCATCTTTAAACACATGAAATTTTGAAATTTTGGGGGGGACATTCTAGATCTAAGCCATAGAAGGACAAAAATAGCATTATTACTTATCTAAGATAGACATGAGATTCTTTAATCAAACCCGTAATACTTTTCCAATATTTATTCTTTTTATATTCAAACTTTAGCATAGCTGTAATTAACTAGAATAGCCAGTATTATTTTATATATTAGATATTTTCTGAAAGTGCTGTGCATGAAAATATGTTTGGATTTCAAAACTCTGGAATACAGTATTTATAGAGTTACTAACTATTTATGCACTTATTACTCAATTCCTTATTGGGCAATTAGGTCTTCTGTTGTCCATCAAATACCCTCTTGCCCCAAGTGCTAAGTCAATTAGGCAGGATATATATAGTACAGTGATTAAGAATATTGTTTTGGGAGCCAGACATCCTGAGCACAGAGGAACTCAGCAACTTCCTAGTTTGGTGAATTCGTACAAGTAACTAATACCATTTGTGTAAAACTTATACTTATAAAATAGAAATAATATTAATACCTGCCTCATAGGGCTGCTCTGATGCTTAAGTTAAATATCCCAAATCCAAAGCTTCAGTAACTAGCATTTAGCATTGTTCAGTTCATTACTATTACCAGTATTACTACTATTATTATCCTATTCTATATACTCTTATGTGGTAAGACTGAATAAATTTTGGTTCTGCTATTTTATTGTCCACTTTAGTCATGCCAATTTTAGCCTTACCATTTAATTCTCTGTAATGTAGCAAAGCCATGATTTATTCAGGCCTTACTGGTTCTGAATTATTAAAATTGAAATTCATTCCAATAGTTAGAGTTCCTTGGGCTTTTTACTGTGTGTTACATTCTTTTTAAGTTTTTTCATTTCTATAGCTTTGTATTTAATTTATTTCCTTCAGTGTTTCTTCTTGCAAATTAAGCATCAATTGTAATTTCTTGATCCATATTTGGGAATTTTTATGTCTCTTCTTAATTTATACACCATTGTTTTACACATCTTAATGTGCATAGATTTATCTAGAAATCTTGTTAAAATGTTAAAATGATGGTTCTTGTTTTGTTTATTTTTCTCATTGCAGAAGACAAAATATCTGATACCCAAAGTTAAAAGAGGAAAGGTTTATTTCATCTCACAGTTCGTAAAGGTTTCAGTCCATAGTCAGGTGGTTCCAAGGCAGGGTGGCAGGGCAGAGGGGCATCCAGAGGAGAAACAGTCTATGGCATGGCAAGCAGAAGGCAATGAGCAGCAAGTAGCAAAACAGTAGCGAAAAGCCTGCCTTCCCTCTCTTCTTTTATTTTCCATCCAGGCTATAAGCCTACTGATTGGTGCTACCCACACCTGGGTGGGCTTTCCCCCTCACCTATGCTAAACCAATTAATGGGCTAATGTAGTACCACACACCCTTAATCCCAGTATAATACACCCTAGATCCAGCCAGCTCCATAAAGCCCCACCTATGAGGGCATGAGTCTTTGGGGGGACATCTAGATATAAGCTGTAACTATTCTCATTCTGCAGCTTTGTGTTTATAAGAAGTTTGCAGATGATGGTAATGGTACAAGGAACATACTTTGAGAATAACTTTTCTATGTAAGTAATATTAGGAACTGAAGCAACAAGGACAACAATAATTCCTGGTGTTACTTGAAGAACACTTGATTTCCCAGCAGTATTCTGTGTGCTCTAGACAAACTGACTTAATCTTCCAACAACCCTTTAAGGTAGGTAATATTGTGTTTCTTCTGTTTTAGATGGGGCAAGTGAAGTGTGATGAAGTGAAATAATATGCCCAAGCACTGTACATTTCACTACGGCACTCTAGAGATATAATATAAACATTTGCCACTAGTTTATTTGTACTAATTATATTAAACTATTCTTGAATTTCATAATTGTTTAAGTATTTCTTTGTATTTAGAGCCTGTAAAGGTTTGTAGATTAGAGGTGGTGTTGAACTGTACTGTATAACCTGCTAAGCACTACTCACTGGAGGCTACTGAAAACATGTGACTGTCTGAAATGAGATGAGTTCAGTGCTCTGTAAGTGTAAAATACACAGCATGATAAAAAGTGAACTATTTAGTTCATAATTTTTATGATAGTTTCGTGTTGACATAAAAACTAATGTTTTGGATGTATAGGAATAAATACAACATTTTAAAACATGTTTTCAACAGGTTTTTTTATGAGGCTAGTTGGTAATTTAAAATTCTATTTGAAACTCCAATTTCCATTGGACAACATTTGTGTAAAGCTTCTAACACAGGTAGATGAGCAGAGTCTCCACAATTTGCTAAGTGGTACACAAAAAGCCCAATTTTCTCTGTGAAATAAGACATGTCTAAGGCTCAGAGAATGTGGCTGAGTATGGGTGGGGCTTGTGGTAACCCGATGTCTAACAAAGTGGCTGACCACGTCTGCTTTCCCAAGCCTGAACATTCATCCTTCAGACAAAGCTCCCAGTGAGTGTCCTTGAGTTCTTTATTACTGAACCAGTGACTATAAGGTAGTGTGCCTGATTTTAGTATAAAAATGTCTTGATTCAAACTGTGGAAGGGATTGTGCATTCTTCCAGGGCATTATTTTCTGTCTACAATTTGAGAGAGAGGACTAGATTGACTTTGTTTCCTTCATGATTTAAAATCAGACAATTGTTTGCTGACTAATAAACACAGGAAAATTAATTGCTAGAGTGACATGCTTTATTTCCTTGGTGGCAGCATAGGGAGAACACCATCTAGTTCCAAAATGTATAAATAAACATATGAGGCAAACATTTTCTGTTGGTTAAGTTGACAAGCTGTAAACCTTTAGTTAACAGACATTAAGCTTTCTTTGTTCAGAGAACTTTGGCAGTACAGAATATCCCCGTTTCATTGGTAAAGTTATCAAAGTACTCAAAAAGATAATGAAAGCATTTTTGCCTTTAAATAAAATCTCAAAAAGTTAATCAAACAATTCATAAAATCAAAGATTCTGTGTGCTTTACTTGTGACTTCTGACCACACCCAGAGGTAGAGAAGAGCTGAACTGAGTTATTTTCCTATTTGAAGTTCAAATGTTAATCCTGTTTATTTAAAAAATTCCCATCCCAGAATTAGAAATGTTTGTTATCCAAGAGCACAATCATGTGGACAGGTATTTTAAAATTTGCTTATTAGAACATAAAATGATAAAGCTATGAATAATGATTTTAGACATATAATTGGTTAGACTAATTTTTATCTAAACTTTGAAAAAAATAGCTTTAGTCAAAGTAAATAAAACTTTGCATTGACATGACTAAATGTAAACACATTTTAATTTGGAGTTTAGGAGAATTTAATTTTGGTCTTATAAATTTTTCTTTTGGTTTTGGAAATAATTTATCATAATTTAACCTGAAATCTTTAATGCACTCAGTTACTATGAAATGCCCATTGGAAGATGTGTAAGAAAGAAAACTTCAGAAAAATAAATATTCTGGCAACCAATCTTTCTTATATACCCATTAATTTCAGAGTTTAGTTATATGCTAATTTGCACATGTTTGTAATTTTTAAACCCTTACTTTAATAATGACAGGTCATTTTAATATCAGCTCATTAAACAAAGAATGGGAACAGTAAAAGCAAATAAGCTTTGGATAGCTTTTAAAATCTTGAATTTATTGTAAATATCAACCTGACATTTTGTACTTTAGGATTTGGCCTGAAAGATGATTTAAACCAGATGGCAAAAGGACACAATAGATTGTGATGAATTCTTGGTGAATCTTACTGGAACACCCAAAATATAATAAGATATAGTTATTTTACCAGTATATCATGTCTTTAGATTCTTTTCTTTTGTGTAAGTAATAAAAAATTTACATGGTAATAGTTTGAATTTTAAATGTTTGAAAGAAATAAATGGTCTTTGAAATCTTAAAACAAATACTTAACAATATAAATTTGCAGAGCTTGTAAATAACTTTGCTCTATAAGAAGTTTAATTTTAGGGAACTATAGATTATTCATTTACTATCATATTTTCTTCTCTTTCCAAAAAAATTAGTTTGACATTTGTTTGCTCACTTAATTATGTATGGTTCACTTCCATAGTGTTTTTGTCTATTTCCTTTATAAGTGTCAGCAAACTTTGATTTAAAAAGGGATTCACTACTATGTGGAAAATTTCTAATCTGAGAATAAGTGTAGACTTCTTTTAATAAGGCACTCATAGCACCAGAGTCACCACGGTAAACATTTATTCAGAAAGGAGCATTTGTGTTTGAAGTTGGTCACATGTTGTAATGAAAATACTGAGAGAAAAGAACATCCCTTATACTGAGAGCGAGTTGCCATTTCCTTTTGTAGGGATTTAGTCATGTTATAGGCGTTATTTCTCTAGAAGTTCAAGTTAAATTTCTTTGTGTGGTGGTCTGCCCTCTCCTGGGCCAGTCATATATACAAAAGATATGTTTGGCTTGTGAAAAGAAATTCAACTCTGAAAGACTAAAGGATTTTATAAGCTAACCTGGTATCAAAATCTTAATATATATTCATAAGCATGCTAACTCCTCACAGAATGTAGTCCTTTCTCAAATATTTGAGGAGTTCTTAGGTGTGATTGTTCTATTATTTTTTTTCTTATCTTCTTTTAACCTCTTTTGCTTTATTGCAAAATAAACACAGCTTGGCACTTGACATTTTCCCTGACCTCTCTTTTAAAAATATTTTAGATGTAACTCACAGGAAATGAACAGAATCCCCCTTTTTGTTCACATACTTTTCTTTAAATTTTTCTATGTTGTATTCAATATGAATCTATTAAACAAGAAAACTAGAGATAAAAATAAACAATTCATTAAAATTATTATAATCCCACTATAATGATATAATTGCTATGCATATTTGGAAGGACAGTCTTTCAAATATTGTTTGCATATTAATCCTACATACCTAGCTATATCTGTATCTATCTATACAAGGGTTATATATATTTAGAATTTTAACATAGGAATCCTAAGATTTTCATTTTATTTTCTAATGTTGTGGGAGATAGAATGTATGCCTTTGGAATCATTTTTTTAATTGTATACATTAAAACATTCATGTTTGGCATTGAAAATATTTTATTTTCTGTTTAATCATTGTAGAGTTATATGTCTTTTTGCAGGGAGGTCTCACTATGTAGATCAGGGTGGCCTTGAACTCAGAGATGATCCTCCTGCCTCAACCTCCTGAGTGCTGGAATTACAGGTGTGTAGTCAGATGTTATAGGTGTATAATGTTTAACTTAATTAGATAGCAATCTCCTTCAGGACAATGGCTGAGCCAAAATAATTTTGAATTTCTGTGGATAAGCACAGAAGTATGTTAAAAATTTATGCTATTTTGGAAAAATCTAATTACCTTTTGATAATTAGCTGCTGTTGGAAACTATGTCCTGAAGGAGAAAAAGGAAACAACTAGAATCTGTCCCCTTAATATATGAGTGAGAGTTAACAAAGCAAAATGAGTCCAAGCAGCCAAAATGAAGATTTCCACTGTAGCTGGGTGGCCCACTCCTCTAATCCCAGAACTGTGGGAGTCTGAAGAAGGAAGACGTCAAGTTTGAGCCCAGACTGAACAATTTAGCAAAATAGATTATTAAGGAGATCCTATTTCAAAGTACCACACAGGGGAAAAACAAAGATTTCCACTCTAACCATGATTACAGAAAGTGATGTTGTGTGACAAATTCATGTAGACATTATAAAATAACTGTTGGAGATTAAACAGGTGAATTCAGAGAATTGTCATCGTAGGGCCAGGGATTTAGTTCAGTGGTGTGGCACCTGCCTCGCAAGCGCAAGATCCTGAGTTTGGATCCCAGTACCACAAAACAAAATAAAATAAACAAACAAACAAAGAAATGTCACTGTGACTTATAGTTCTCCAGTGATTTTTACTTTACTCTTTATGGTTTTGAAGTACTTAGAAAATATCTTCCAAAATGTTTTTCAGCCCATGAGACTTTTCTTAGGTATAAACTAAGAGAAATGTATTTACTGTTGTAAAACTTAATCCTCCCACAGGAGGATCACAAGTCTGAGTTTAGTCTGGGCAATTTACCCACTTAGTGAGACACTGTCTCAAAATAAAAAAATAAAAAAGGGCTGGGATATAACAGTGTGAATGCCTTGGATTTGACCTCAGTACTGAAAAAAAAACTTCTCAAAATGTATTACTCAAATGTACTGAAACTTGTAAGTAAGAGAAATGAGCAGGTTGAAAGTTTGGCCAAGCAATAATATTCTACCAGGTCCTTTAGAGATTTAGGTTGCAGAGTTCTGACAACTTCATAAAATAAGTTTCTAGGCTACTCTAAGATTTCTCTATTTTGGTCAGCTCTGACAGGAGGAAGTATGAACGAGTCTGATAGAATCTGAGCCTAGAATAGACACACATCATTTGTAGTCACATTCTGTGGTGGAAAATATCACCTTGCTATATTTGACTGTAAAATAGTTGGAGCATTTAATTCAACTGTATATGTAGAAGAAAATGGAGAGTTGGGTAAGTTGTTGGGTAAATTTTAACTATTTCATTTACAAAATTTCCCTTGTATTTCCAGGGATGAGATGCCCTTTATTTGTAATGCATAAATTCTCCCCACCTTCATTGATAAGTGATGAATAACTGACATATCATATGCTAGGAAAATTAGATTTGGATTCCAGGAATTAGAAAGTGAAATTCCAAGGCAATCTTTGTGACTGGTATTACACCCATTTAATTAGTGAGGTTCCAGGACAGAGGGGCCAGGGGTGAGAAGAAAATAACCCAAAAGAATACCAAAAGGTCTGGGTGTCTGTTGATTTTCCAATTTCTGATCCCAGACCCCTTCCAAACACTGAAGAGTTAGTCATATTGATGAAATGAACTCATACCCTTTAAGTCCCCTTTTGATTAAGGTAACTCATGCTGATTTTTGGTATATTAAAGTGAATTTTTAATGAATACAGGTATGTATGTGAAAAATATCTACTGAAGGGGAAAAAGATAAGACAATTATTAAACCTGTTCTCCCATGTGTTGTATCATCCTTTAAAAAATATATTTTACTAAAATTTTCCCTATCAGGAAAATGTGAATAACTCATCCTTTCATTGTCTTTGTAGTTTTTAATCAGTAAACTGAATAGGATGACAGATGTAGTATATATTTAGTAAATGATAGTTCTAAATATGGTGATGAGATGATGATTACAATGCTTTTAGACATTTCAATGGTTGTTAGTTTTTGATATATGGTTTTAGTTGCTCTACCACAGTATTTTTTCAGATTTCCAGATGAAAACAAAACCAAATAAAAAGTAATGCTTCCAATTTAAGAACCTGAACTATTATGCCAACTTCTGCAAACTATTGATATCTAAAGATCAGTACATGAAGAAGTTTTAGAAAATACATTTCAAATCAAATGGTGCCAATTGTATAAAGGGAAAAGTATTTTTGTCATTTTTTTCAGATTTTTTGAATAGCCAACATTGTTTTAAATCCACTCTCAAGAACATAATTACATCTATACATTATTTTAATCTGCCTTTTTAAAAAAGAGCTAAAAATCAGAAGACTAAATGACTTAAAAATGTATCTGTCACTTGTAAGAAAAGTAAAAATGGCAGGCACAATTTAAACTGTCTTAATCTACCTCCACTTAATCAACTCATTGAATTAACCATCACTTTCCATGGGAGATTGAAGTGTACTTAATTTAATTCAAATTAACCAAGTCACTGCATTAATTTTCATTCTTCATTTTTGCTGTATCACATGTTGACAGATGATCATAATCCTGTGATTAAAGCTAGTGGATTACTTCCTAAAATATGCATTAAATAAATGCTCTTGAACAGGGAGCAATGAATGACTAGAATGAAGTTCAAATTCTAGAAGAGTTTGGCATCTAGAATACTCCCCCCTACCAAGAAAACTTTAAAATTGACTAGGTAAATAGCAATATTGCCTTATGGAAAAGTGATATCTGAAATAGGATGACTGAACTCTTGTCGAACAAGATATATGTTCAAAAGAGAGCTGTTAAAAAAACAAATGAGTGTTGTGGGCAAAGAATCAACAGTGTTGCTTCATGAGTATCCATTCATATGTATTTAAAAATTGTCCATAGAAATACAAATCATATATGTTTTAAATGATATTCTTCTTTCATTTTTTATTAACTGGTCAGTTGCCTAACCTAGTCATTTTTAATTGAGGAAAACACTTAGAGATATTCTGAATATGGGTACTTGTATTTTCTAGGAATGGAACACTGAAGTTGATAAAAAAGTAAGTAATGACAAAGGTGCCAATTTATAATACCTCAATTTAGAGGGCTATAGCAATACTGGCTTACCACACAGAAGCAAGAGATTTATTTAAGATAGTTCTTCATAACCAAAATATGCAAAATTATAATACTAAACACAGAAAATAATGTTGGTAACTCATCAAAAGAAATTAAGTAAATTGCAAATCAATATAAAATGACCATAAATTCATCAGAAACCAAGCAAAGGGTATATACACAAATATGAACAGAAAATTTACAGAAAAAGAGCTCCAAGTTGTTGTTAACCATGTTTAAGACTTCGTCTAGAGAATGAGAATTGCAATTAAGCCAAAACGGACATGTCACTTTTTTATTCCAAAAAGATTGATGAAAATCAAGGATTGATAACAGATATGCCATAAAGGTGAAGAGAAACAAGTAGTTTCATATATTGGTGCTGGAAATAATGTAATACAATTTCTGAAAGACTAACTTGGCAGTTATCTGTCACAGTGACAAATGTGCATAGAATTTGTCCATATATTTATACTACTTTTCACTTATATACTCCTATTCTGTGAAATTATTTTCAAAGTAGTTTTGTTGACATTAAAAACAAAACATATAGCTACATATATTATGTTACATGCATACAACTGAATGCTATATTTCAGTGTCCATATAAAAAGTAATTTTCATTTTGCTCAATACCAGATATTGAGAAAAACTTTAATGATGGAGCAAATGGAATAAAGAATCAATATTAAAATATTTAACATATAGGGCTAAACTTGTGATAAAGAGACTTCCTTAGAAACTGGAAATTAAGCTAAAGCACAAATCTAGAGGGAAGCAAGTGCTAGAACTTGTAATTGCTTGAAGAACTTTCTATTCCTTAGTGACCTGGATCAACAGTGTTACGAACCATGTAAGAAAGGGGAAAAGGTCAGACTCATGCATTGTGGGGCATTAAGTTCAAAACTCCCTTTAAAAATTGTATCAAAAAAGGCTACAATGTTAATACAATTTTTAATAGGTTGGGTGAGGGGTAGAGTGACCTTGCAAATATTGGGACCATATCTATACTGATCACAGTTGTAGACCAAAGAATGAAATATTTCCTCTTGGAAAATGGAATCGTAAGTCAGCTCACACAAATGTTTCACCCAAATTTGAACTACACTGGTGAGATATGAAATACTTCAAGGCAATATTTTACTGTAGTGTAGTGCTGGGTTTATTTTGCACCTCAGCATTGGAAAGAAAAAGAAAGGGCAAGGGAAAATCACTTCTATAGAGTCAGATTTGAGTAAGTTGGGTATATTCTAGGAACAGAAAATTGATTTAACATCACTCCATTAACATATGAATGTAAAAATATGATCATCTCATTGAACTTCTCAATGAAGAATATTCAATCCACACTTGACATTAATTCATGCTCAAAACATGTAGAAAACAGTGATTAAAAACATTTAAAATATTTTATGTACCTATTAAAATTTATAGCAACTTCAAATTCAATGAAAAAAGAATTCCCTTTAGATCGATAAAAATTATTTGCAAATAATG